CGATCTCCGGCTCCCGACAGGCCTCGACCTCGGGCGGAGCGGCGCCTGGCCCGGCGGCTCGCGGATTGAAGGGGAGACTGGGAGGAGAGGGGCACATGGCCCAGCGCATTCCCCATCACTGACGACTCCAGGACGATCCCCCTCCTGGCTCTCTACTCATTCCCTGAGATGCTCCAAGACCTGATTTGGACTTTGGCAACCAAACTTGGTTGGTTCTAGAAGCCCCGGGTTGGCTCAGTCTGGGACTCATCTGACAATAGTATCTGGCGCACAGTAGGTATGTGTGCATCTGCTGAAATAAATAAATATTTTATTTTTCATGCTTGAACTGTGTCTGCTTCAACAACGCTTCAACAGTGAGCTCCTTGTGAGGAGTAGGTACAGTCAGTGATGTGCCGAGAAGGATCGGGGCGGCCGGGGAAGTGAGGGGAAATACACGGGCCCAGCGAGCAGCTTCTGAGTGAGCTGGAAAGTCAGCGCCCAGAAGCTATCCGGGCGCAGCGCCTGGGTGCCGCGGAATTCCGCGCAGACGGCCAGAGCCGCGGGCCATGGGCCCTGGGGTCACGGAATTGGAAAAAATGACGCTAAAGGGAGAGCCCGAAGGGGACAGTCCCCACTCGACAGGTGGATAGAGGCCCAGCTCTAAGGGATACTAGAGACCCCAAGAGACCTGAACAGAAGGAAGCCGGTCAAAAGGGCCCCAAATCTCCCTGCAGAGACAGAGCGACACATCCCCCTGGCCTGCAGGCTCGGAGGGCAGATACCAGTGGGCGAGCGTCCCTGCGGCCCTGACCCAGGCTGCTCAGGTCCTGCGCGGTAATGTCAGCCTGCAGGGGGCGAAACGTTCCTTTCTCCTGCTGGGCTGCGGCTGAAACCAGAGCCAAAAATAGAAGCTGAGATCAGCCGAAAGGAATGAGACTGAACAAACATATGCGTGTGTCTAAAATCCTGATGGGACACACGATAAAGTAATACTCGCAAACACGGGTGTAACGTGGGATTACTTAGTAAGGAATGCTCGGATAAATGAATGAAAACTTGGAGAAAAAAATGTAAGTTCCACAATATACCTCAAAATAAACTCCATGTGGATTAAAATTCTAAATATTTTAAAGAACAGTCATAGAAACACTATATCAAATAGGATAAAACCGATTTACGGCTAAATGTCAGCATTCTCAAAGCTGTAAAGCAATAGGAGAATGCAAACGAAAACTAACTTTTTCAAAAATACAAAAGCTGAACAGGATTTTTAAAAGAAAAATATTGACACCAAACAACAAGCAGAAAACCCCTCAAACGTATAAAAGCTTGTTTAAATATATAAAAACAACCAAGATATCAATAACTAAATAGACAAAGAAGTTAAGTATGTAATTCATGAGGAGAAATAAAAGTACTACACCAGTGCATGGGGAAACGTTCATTGTCCTTGAAAATCAAACATTTTAAACTTAAAACAACCTTGAAAGATATTGAATCATTATGTTGTACACCTAGGACTAATATAATATTATAAATCAATTATACTTTAATTTTAAAATAACCTTGACATAGCACTTAACATCTACTAAAGTTGCAAAAGTGTTTTAAAATTATAACACATAATGTTAGCAAAGTAGAAAAATGATGGAGTCACAATAATACTTTGAATATTTTTAAATTGATTTATTTTATATACATATTAATGATAAATTCATTAAGCTGAAGTGATATAGTTAAATATGTGTCATTTTATCTTCACTAAATTAACAAAACCTTAACCTCAATGGAAGGTGACATTGCTTCACCCCATCCTCCTCCAGACCTGGAGTTATAGCCAGACATAAAATGCCACTTCGTCATTTTCAGTACACTCACTCCGTTTCAAAATAAAGTATCTAAAGATATGAATTAAATAAAGTACTGCCACAGTTTAGGGAAAGGGTCTTCAAAGTAAAAGCAAAAAAAGTCTTGAGTGAGTTTATCCACTTTTGTGGTTTTCAATACCATCACTATGTTAAGGATTCTCAAAAGATTCCTAACCCGAACCTCTGCCCTGAACTTCAGACTCAAACATTTGTCTGTCCATCTGACCTCTCCAAATGGATGTCAAATGTAAATGTCCAAAACTGACCACCTGTTCTCCATTCCTCCTCCCCCAAACACACACACCACACACACACACACACACACACACACACACACACACACACACACACACACACACACACCATGGACAAAGTAGTTTCTCTAACAGTCTTCATCTGTTAATAGCAAGTCAATTCTTTCAATTGCTCAGCCTCCAAACTTGGAATCATCCTTGAGTCCTCTCTTTCCTTTAAAAGCTGAATCAGGTCATCAGTTCTCTACTTAAAACCTACCATGTCTCTCCATCTATCATATCTGTAAAAGCTGAACTGCTCACTGTTCCCTAAAGGCCCCACTACCTCTCTGACCTTTTCTCCTACGCCTCTCCCCTCCCATCACTCCTCTTGGTCATACTGGCCTCCTTGCTGCTCCTCAAATACACCAGGCACATGCCCATGTGAAGGACCTGTTTCCTCAGCCAGGAATGTTTTCCCCTCCATACTCAAATGTGATACATGCCTCACTGCCTGCAGATCTTTACTCAAAAGCCAAAACAACTTTCTCAGTGAAACAAACACACAAAAAACTCCCTGCTTTGGATTTTCTACTTTATCACTATCATCTAAAAATATATATATATATATATATATATATATATATATATATATATATATATATATCTTTCACTTGTGTATTTTGTTTATTACCTATATTTCCTTAGAAGGTAAGCCTCTGAGGGCAGAGATGGTTGTCTGTTTTGTTCACTGACGTATCCACAGTGCCCAGAACAGTGCCTGCCACCACATGGTGAGCAATGGATAAATGTTCACTGCATAAATTAGAGGGGAAAGGAAAGCAGGTAATACAATGTGGTAAAGATCAGAGACAGGAGGAAACATTCTCATTAACAGAAAACCAAAACAAACAAACAAACAAAACCCCAGAAAACTAGCTTAGGGAGATTATTAAGAATACAGGTGTGGGGATTCCCTGGCGGTCCAGTGGTTAATACTCTGAGCTTTCACTGCCGAGGATGCAGGTTCAATCCCTGGTCAGGGAACTAAGATCCCAAGCCGAAAGACACAGCCAAAAAAAGAATACAGGTGTGGTAGTGCAAAAGGTTCTACAAAATATAAATAGGTGTCTGGGTCACCAAGATAGAGGCTGGAGGCCAAATATTCTCTGACAAAGAAGACTGGCTCCCTCCCTAGTTCATAGTTTACATCAGTCTCCATCTTCAGAATCAGTCCCCTGAAGGGTAAGAATGCCAGAATCTGCACCATGCCCTGCCCTAAAGACATACCCCGGCCCTGGAAGGTGGCATGGAGGGGCTGATGGGACAAGGAGATGCCTAAGATAATGTTTGTCTCATTTAGGACACTCTCAAGTAAGATAAGGTAACAGAAATCTCAACCTCTCATGGCCTCTTTTGGACCATCACTCTGCTTTGAGTCTCCCTTCATTGGCACTGCCATCTTCCCACCTCCCAACATTCACTGGGAAATATTGCCATCAGCCTGGATAGCCTAGTGTCTCTGTGGGCAATACCTTCTACATCTTAAAGTCTCTGACTCCCGTGTCCCCAGTGAACTTTGCCCTTCTTGCCACTTAGGCCACTCATCCTTTGGCCGCACTCTGAGCCTTGTCATCACCTTGAAGGGCCCCATTGTCTGATAAAACCCCCATTCTCCAAACATGGCCATACTTGTAGCTCTCCTTCCCTTACCTCACCACCTCCTTTGTCTCCTTATCCTTCCTTCTTCTTGTCAACACATACTGCTAAGCAGTGGTGGGGAAAATTTCTTTCCCCTTTGGACTGGGACCAGGGTATCCAGTTCCAGCCCCCTGACATCTGGATTCTCTACCACACTTCCAAAGCTGCTCCCTCTAATGTCATGAGACTTCTATGTTGCTAAGCTAGAGGGACACTTCAGTCCTTATCTTATTAGTTCCCTTCTCTACGTTGACCACTTCCTCATTCTTGAAATTCTCTTCTCCTGGGGCTACTGAGACACCTGTCACTCCTCATTTTCTTCTGTCTCCATGGATGCTCTTTTTCCATCTTTGTCACTAGTTCCCTTTTTCCTCCATCAACCCCATAAATATTGTTGTTCTTTGGGTTTACTTCTCTCATTTTACAAATCCTTCTCAGATTCTCTCTCTCAGGCCCAGGTTTCAATGATCACTCAAACGCCAATGATGCCCAAATCTAAAACTTGGGCATGGATATATAGCTGATCACCCATTGGATATTGCCACCAGTGTGCCCCTCAGGGACCTTAACCTTAATATGTCCAAAATTGAACTTTCTATTCTGTAACTTGAACTCCCCTTTCTCTTCACTAAGGCATCATACTCTGTGTGAAATGCCAGAGTCTAAGTTAAGACCAGCAGATGCTGCCTCTCCCCTGGATAGAAAGGGAAACTTGAATAGTACTCATTATTACCAATTTAAGATGCATTAAAATGTCCCAAACCTTCCTTTGATTCAGCACATTGGGGAATATAAAATCATTTACAATCTTATTTTCCTCTTAAAGTCCTGAGTTGCTCAACTGTAAATTCTTTTCCCACAGATGATTTCAGAGGGAAATACGGTGCCTTGGCCAGCTGCTCATCTTGGGTTGGCAGTTGACATGAGTCATGCAATACAGAGCAGGGTCTAGGTGAGCAGATACAGTGCATTTGTCTGCATGGTTAAAAATGAGTTTTGCTTTACTGCAGATATTCAGCTTTCTATGAGAAGAGGATGGGTCACATGTAAAGCTAAAAGCAGATGTCCTATGAGAACACTCCAGGAAAATGCCTAGGTTTCTGGGTCTTGTATTCTCTCCTGAACTGTGGGCTCTCAGAGGCAGGTCCCAGGTGTTTCTAGGACTGAGAGTTTCCTAGGAAGGCAGATGCAAGCTCTGGTAATGGAGCTTTCAAAACTGGCTGGGAGCAAAACAGTCCCTACTGACACAGCTCCCCTTGGGTATCACTGTGATCAAGGGATGCAGAGTAATCAGAGGTCTGAGAAAGAAGAAAGCTTGGATAGGATTAATTTAACCTACTCAGTCCGTCATCTGTGTAAGAGAGACCTCTTGGGGGCTTCCCTGGTGGCGCAGTGTTTGAGAGTCCGCCTGCCGATGCAGGGGACACGGGTCGGTGCCCCGGTCTGGGAAGATCCCACATGCCGCGGAGCGGCTGGGCCCGTGAGCCATGGTCGCTGGGCCTGCGCGTCCGGAGCCTGTGCTCCGCAGCGGGAGGGGCCACAGCAGTGAGGGGCCCACATACCGCAAAAAAAAACCAAAAACCCAGCATCTTTGGGACTTCCCTGGCGGTCCAGTGGTTAAGGCTCTGTGCTCCCAATGAAGGGGGCACGGGTTCGATCCCTGGTTGGGTAACTAAGATCCCACGTGATGCACAGCACAACCAAAAAAAAAAAAAGCATCTTTGACCTCATAGCAATAGTGTATACAGACAGGAAAACAGACTGCACAGTCTAATTATTGTCTAAATCACCAGGCTGGGTAAGTCTCTTTAGCTGTTAATAAAACTGTGTGTTTTCTAATCCTGTTCAGCAGAGGTCAAGTCTATCAGCAGAATTCTTTCTGGAACTGCTGTGCGTGGTGCTTCACACAAAAGAACCACTAGAAAATTGATGCTATAACCACATGTAACCAGAAAAAATGAGGCAGGCCAGGGTGGGATGCTGAGGAGTCTGCTGCCATCACACACGAGTCTTGACACAGCAGGAGCCTTAACAAAGGGATTTATCAGGAACCCTAGAATCTTTGGCATACACTTCTCAGTCAT